GAGGACGGGGCAGCTAGTCCCCAAAGCTGAAAGATCTCAACCAGAGCTTAGTTTTCCCATCCTCAAAATGAAGGAGCAAGATTAAATTACGTCTAAAGTCTTTTTTGGCTCCATTATTGGTTCTATGTACAACCTCAAACTAACTCCAGACCTACTAGAATTTGGCCCCCACTGCTACTGTGAGCTATAGGGACTGTGCAGGTCCAATGTGCTACTGTGAGCTATAGGGACTGTGCAGGTGGTTAACTCTGTAGTGATCCTATAGATGTCCCTATCTTAGAAGAACCTTGTCTGGATGGCCAGGCTCACTGAAACTGTCTTTCCATTGAACTGTACTGTTTCCTTTCAGAAGAGTGTCAACCTCCTCCCACCACCACCACAAGGGATCTATAGAGTCCTCAAAACCCAACATTGGGAGTCATTCATTCCAGAGAGCTCACCCAGAGCAAACCGTAACATTCATCATCAGACCATAGGCCCATTAATTTAGCACCATTTCTTAGCACCCAAATGTTCTTATTTGGCTAACATCATCCTGCCTTAACCACAGAGTTTTCTCTACTATCATATACTCAAGAAGTTCTTAATTTTGGGGCATCTTAAACCCTTTTGGCAGTCAATCTGATGAAGACTATGGAGCCCTCTCAGAAGAATGTCTTTAAATAACTGAATAAAGTTGAAGATTAGTGAAAATAAAGATGTAATTTTATTCTCATCCAAGTTAACACACTCTATGAAATCTTTTCACTGTCCCCAAGTTATAAACCCTCGATCTAGCCCTAGCAAAAAAAAAAAATCTTCTCTACCGGCTGAACACTGAAGTTTTGGTGTTGCTCTTTATTTACTTTATTTGTTTTTGGAGACTGAGTCTCCGCCTCCCACTGGAAACGCAATGGTCCCTCATGGGCTATCGCTCTCTACCACGGGAGCTTTGACCAGAAATGGTTCACCCCTCTTTAGGCAGACTGGTGGCCCTCTTCATACCCATATGGCTTCTCCACACCCATATAGCTGGAGCTCAGACCCCCATTTGGTGTAATCCTAATTCAACTCAGAACTCCCCAGCTCAAACGATCCATGAACCTCTCCACCTATAGCTGGGATTCCATGCGTCAATCACCAAGCCCAACTGGAGACCTTTTCTTTTCCCCCAAAATAATCTGTCAAGTATCAGGCTTAAGTTTAATTTTAAAGTCCTTCTCCTTCCTCAGATGGAAGTCTTTTCTAACTGAAATGTGTTCCCCAAGAGCACGAATAAGCGTAAGCACAGCTCTCTGCCTAAATGAATGGTCCAAAGAAAAGAGGCGTTTGGCAGCCACAGTCAGGGAAACACAACCTTTATTGAGGTGACAGCACATTAACACACAAGACAGTTAGTCTTGTCCTTCTGAAATGGGTGCAAGAAATAGTGAAGACGCAGGGCCAGGAAATGCAGGCTAATCAGCAGAATGGGGGGAAACATTCACCCAAGGGTCATTCCTTCTGGCCAATATCTTATTTTGGGACTATATCATTTACCCAGAGCTCAACACTCACCAGGAAACATGTCAGACCCAGCACTGAAGGGCTGCATAAATAGGAGAGTACAGAATATGCGTGCAGACAGAGGCAATAATAAATTACCACAATATACGATGAAGATATATTAAGCACACATTCCTGAAATCAGGGCACCCGCAATCTTCCTCTGACAAGCCACCTCCTTAAGATTCCCTCAGATCAGACCCTTAATAGAAAGGAAGGGGCTTATACATTGTAGAGAGGCAGCTAATTTATTTTAAGGCAATAATAAGCCAAACCTAGCTTCCCAGAATTCCTAATTCAAGGTGTCCTGAGTCAAATTAGACCCCAGGACAACCAGCTTCCAGGAGAAGGTCATACTATTTTTCCATCTCTACATTTTTGGCACTTATCTTGTACTTAACTTAGCTGTGAACATGCAGCATTTCCCCAATAGAATAGAAGCTCTTTGAGGGCAGGTATTGATGCATTTTTGTCAGTGGCCCAGTACCATGGCACATAGTAGGTGCTTAATAAATGCTTGTTCATTGACTTGTGCCTCTCAGAGCCTTTGACTTCTTTCAGGCCTCAGCTCACTTGCCCCTCTCTGTAAAGCATCCTTGATCTCCCTCCCCCGCCAAAAAATCAAATAATCTTTTAATAATCCCTGCTTTTGAGGTTAGGGATGGCTGAATTTTTTCTCAGTGTTCCAAGAATTTAGCACAGTGATTGACACATGGTAGGTATTTAACAGATGGTCATTGAATTGGATTGGATCGAGGTATCTGAATTAGGCAGCTGCCCTCTCCCACTAGGAGCTTAGATTAAGGTCAGAGGAGATCAGGAAAGGTTAATGGAATAGGGCACCTCAGGGAAGCCCAGATATGGGGGAGACCAGAAGGTACCATCAGGGACTGGGCATTGGAGGAGAGGTGGGGACAGGGGCAAAGTCACAGCTCCATTACTGGACAAGAACTGGGCTAGCTGGGTCCAGGGCTAACAGCTCCCCAGTCAATATTATTTTAAAACCCAGTTGTGGAAGGAGAGACCTTACATGGTGGCCTCAGACAGAAGAACTAAGGTACTGGGTGGAGAGAGACCCCAGGACACCAGACCCCATGAGCAGAAATCCAGGGGGAAAGCAGAGTGAGTGAATGGAGCAGAGCAAGAACAAACCTGGCAGCCAGGAGGAGGAAAGTCACTCCAGGGAAGCTTGCTAACTTCATTATTCTTGTTAAGTAGAACCCAAGCTCAGTGGCTTCTACCTCCTAAGGAATTCAAATGGCCCTAGCATGCTCTAAATTTTGGCACTCCTGGGTCAAAGGCTGCATGCCCCACCTTAGCTCTGTGTGGAGTTCAGAAACTTTACAAACTTTCCAGTTTGGCCTAAGATCCTGGTGGCAGCCAGGGTCCCACTAAAAAGCATCTCTTGGGCCAGCCTGGGATACCTGCGTGGTACTGCTGCCCAAAGCAAGTTATCAGTACTGGTGTGGGAGATTATAAACTCAGCATGAGCATTACTCAGGTTCCTTCTGAAAAATGAGGGGGTTGGATTAGGCGGTCTCTGAGCTCCCGCCAGCTCCATATGGAGGATCCTGCAATTGCCCTCATCCCAGCGGCCTCAAAGGCATTGCCTGCAGAGACGGAGACCCTCCTGCTCACGCCAAAGTCCTTGGCTGCATTGCCAGGGGAGATCACTGTGCCATAGGATGAGCCTGGGTCTAACAGAAGGGGAGAGGCATCAGAGACCTCTATCACCAGCTGACTGTCTGTGAGACTTGATCCCCATCAGAAGATGAGAAAATGAAGAGTTCCCACATTGGGGACCCACATATATTAGGTGAGATCCATTGGAGAAAAACCACGTCGTATGGGCAGTCTACGCCTTCCTTAGCTATTTATTTACTTCCATAGAAGCTGGTTGGGGCAGCACATCTCACATAGTCGATCAATGGCTGGACTTGGAAACCAGAGTCCTGTGTTCGAGCCTCCTTTGACCCTGCCTAGCTGTGTGATCTTCAGCGAGTTCTCAGCCTCTCCAAGCCTCAGTTTCCTGATCTGTAAAAGGGGGAGAATAATAGCACCCATGTCCTAGGGTTGTTGTGAGGTTCAGTAATAGTAATACTTATAATCATGAAGAGGCAGGGTGGGGTAGTAGAGAGTCAGAAAGACCTGGGTTCAGGGCCTGACACATGAGGATTGTCTGAACTTGGGGAAGTCTCTCACTCTTGCAATTTCCTCATCTGTAAAAAGACGGGTTTATCCCTTAAAGACCTCCCTGCTCTAAAGCCTAGAATCCTGTATAAACATGTAAACTCCATCCACAGAGACTCCAAGGTCTGTGCCCCACTGAGGCACAATTGGGCACCCTGTATTCCCGAAAAACACGTTATTTATGGCATGATTATCTTCCAACAGAAAAGGTTAACAACACCACCATCAATGATAGCAGCAGCTGACATCCACCTGGCTATTTCCAGTTCACAAAGAATTCCCATACACACCATCACATTTACCTTATAAGTATTGTTATTCCCATTTCACAGATGAGAAAACTGAGATTCAACAAGAAAACATGATTTTCCCGAGGTCCCAGAGAGTGCACTTGGTAGACCATGGATTCAAGCTCAGAGGCTGAACTGTCCTTTTCTGGAGTGTGGCAGAGAGGCCCTTAATCAAGTCTGGCAGGGACCGACTTCTAAATTGGAGTCTGTCTTCCGATGCCTGGGCCACATCATCTACCACATCTCTCTCGCCAACACCCTTCTATTTTGTCAGTTCACAATGTGTCAGGAGTAAAACACCTTTAAAAGCTGGCATTCTGCTCAATGACAGAAGCTGACCTTCTGCCATCAGCCATTACAGACCTGGAAAATGAATGGGGCTTGGGTGGCTTCACAAACGGCCTCAGTTTGGAAAAGTCAATGAAATTTCCCAATCGTCCAAACTGGTGACGAGGTGTAAAACACCCCCAAGTGAGCAGGGGGTGCTGGACTCCTGGCCACCCAAAGCCTGGAACCTTCCATAAAACGAAAATAGCCTGAAGGCAGGGACCCTGCCATTTATGTTTGTGGGGCCCCTGGGATTAAGAATTGGTGGGTTTTGATAAAAAATTGTTGAAAGAATGTGAATGAATGAATTTGGAGGAAAGAGAAGTAAATTGAATTTGACGTCGTGAACAGGGTTCCAGCCTTGGGTCCCCATTCGCCCTCTGACTCTACTGACTGAATGGTCCCAGACAAGTCACTTCATCTCTTAATGCCCCAGGCACGCCCTCGGACCACAGGGTTCAGATGAGCGGCTGGTCTGTGTCAGGGGAGGGGGTATCCACACATCAGTGAAACCATAGCTGCAGATCAAAATCGATACAAGGATAGAGCCAAGGACCAGACCTCTGGTCTAGCGCTCTAGGGGATTCCTGGACAAGGAAACTCCATCAATGCAGAGTAGTAACTTTTCTACAACTTCTAGTCATGGAGGGATACTTAGAGCACAGATAGGCTAGGGGACTGGCCCAGCGTCACCCAGCCCTGTATATGTCAGAAATGGGACCGGAGCTTAGGAATTCCTGACTTTGGGGCTGGCTCCCTAACCACTATGTAATTATATGCTATAATGAAGCTAGCTGTGCCCTTTTCCATGAATCAACCACAGTGAAACCCCAAGTTTGCAGAACTTGAATTCCAAGCATCCCCATCGTTGCCCAATACATAGTGCCATCTCAAGAATGTGCTCAGAAAAGTCTCCAGCTGCCCCTCGAGGTGACGGGTCAGTGGCCCAACTGAGCCGACGCAGGCACTCAGGGCTCTGTCTCTCCTGGGTCTCTGATATATGGCCAATTCACTCAGGCTCCTCCCAGGCCTCTGAAACCTCTCTCCCTTCAGATGACATCATTCACAGCCATGACAAACGAGGATGTGTGTCTACCAGCAAATTTTTAATGGTTTCCAGTTTATTTGCTCAGTGTGGAACAGGAGAGCATGGGGCCTTCCCTGCCTCACAATTCATTTACTGGGAAATTCAGACGCTTATGGAAAACCCGAGGTGTCCATGAAAAGAAGAGGGGCCCAAGATATGTGACAAGGGGCTAGGCTGAGAGAAGGGCCCTCACAACACTTTCCTTGAGAACCCAGAAATTAAACTTGGGAACCTGGCAATGAGTGAGCCACGGCCCTGGATCACCTCAAAATTTACCCTCTGTATCTTGCTTTTAAATGAGTTCAACTGATTGAATCTCTCTTCTTCCTCTGTCCTTGCTGAAAATCCAATCATTCATTGAGCAAAAATTTATTTATCACCTACTGTTGCTAGGCATGGTGCTAGGCAATGGAGATACGGAAAAAAAGAAAAATAAAATAAAGAAAAAAGGAGCTCCTGTCTTTGAGGAGTTTACATTCACACAAGGAAATAAGAACACAGATAATTAAGATAAGATATAGACAAAGTAAACATAAAGTAACTCCAAGGAAGAGTGCTGGTGGAGCTTCCTGGAGAGGCAGCCTCTGAGCTGGGAAGAGAAGAACAGGGTCTCCCAGAAAGAACGCTGGGCTTCTAAGCCATGATCCTGCACAGTCCTGATGGCTCTGTTTGACCCAATTTCTGCAGCTCTTAAATGACTGTATGGAAAGAAGAGCTCTGGATCTGCAGACAGAGGACCTAGGTTCAAATCCCACCCTACAGTACCTTGGGCAAGTCATTTCCTCTCTCTTAAACTCAATTTCTTCCTTTGGAAAATGAGATGGGGGGAAGGGAAGATGGACAACTATTAATGTCCGCTGTGGTTCCATCTTTCCATACCTGCTTATGATGGACCAAGAGCATTTTATTGAGTAATGGCTCCAGGGCCACAGAGTCAGATTTCAAACCGGAAGAGTACAGTAGAATGTAAACTCCTTGGAGGCAGGGGTGGTTTTGTTTATAGCTTTGTACTCCATTACCACAGCACCACTGCATTTTTAATTAATCCATGAGAATTTATTAAGTGCCTACAATGTGCCAATCATTGTGCCAGGTGCTGGGGATATGACAAAAATAAAATGGTCCAGTCCCTGCCCTCAAGCATCCCATACTCCTCTGAAGGTGAACTCCTTGTACTTGTATTGGAGGCACTTAATAAATTTTCATTAAATTAAGCTAATCCCAAGGTAAGACCATAGATATCAGGGTAGAAAGGACCTCAGAGGAGGCTACTGTGGTGTAGGGAGGCTGTGTGACTTTGGGCCAATGGCCTAGGATTTAATTATAAGTGGCTCTAGTTTTCCACCTGAACTGACCAATTCAATCGAACAACTGGTTTGACTGATTTTTTTTCTCTCATTGAATTGATTGAATAAATCACCACTTGCTTTCGTGCTAAGCAGTCCCAGCCTCAGAGACTCAGATATCCAAGGATACCAGGATACCTGAGAATCCGTGGACAACAATGGAGGTCAGAGAATCACAGGATCGCAAAGCTGGAAAGGACGTCTGAAGTCAACCAGCCAGCCCATCCTTGAGCAAGAATCTTCTCATCAACAAACCCAAAAAAGTAGGATGCTTGACTTTGGGATTCAGAGTGAGAAAGGCTTGTGTTCAGATCCTGCCCTGACACGTGCTCCTGGTGTGACCTTAAGCAGTTCATTTATGTTCTCTGAACTTCAATTTCCTCATATGTGAAACCTAAGTGCCCCCTGTACTATCTATAGACCTTAATGGGCTGATGTGATAATCACATGGGCCAATGTATACAAAGTACTTTGTAAACAGTACCTGAAAGTACTATAGAAGTGTCATTATCAGGATACTGTGTGACTCTGGGCAACTCTCTTCGCTCCTCTGAGCCTCAGTTTTCCCCCTGGCCCTAGTAGAAGATCTTAGAGGTCCCTACCAGCTCCAGAGTCAGGAGGATTCTGTGAGCTTGTCTCTCAGGACCCTAGAGTCCAGAGGCACCAAGATGGCAGAGCCAAAATACAAATGCAATCAATTCTCCAGAAGGATACGTGTCTAGCACGAAACATTTAGGCATTTGGAAGCATCCACAGATCTGGCTGAAATGACCAAGGCTGTATTTAGTGTTTTTGCAACAGAGCATTAGGCCTTTTATCTCTCCCTCCCCCTCAATAAAACAGCTGCTCCTTGAGAACAAAGACTTTCACCTTTGCTTTTTCATCCCTAACACTGACACATAGTAGGTGCTTAATCAAAGCTTATTCCTTGACTGATTGTCCTGTATGTGATGGCAGTGAATGCTGTTGGTATAACACTTCTTCCACCTGTAGACTGATGCATATTGGATAATCCTTACATAATGTAAAGTCCTAGAGGGCAGGCATCGTTTCATTTTGGCGTCTCTATATCCCCAACACTTAGCACAATGCCTTGTATACAGTAGGTGCTTAATAAGTGCTTAAACATTGGTTCATTTGTTTGGTTGTAGCCTCTGAAACTGACCCATCCTTTTGTGAAAGCTGCTTCATCTAGGAGATGGAAAATGGAGAAATTGGGAGGCATTCTAGGCTCTCGTACCTGGACTGATATTTCAGTATTTGTGACTACTCCAAGTATGGATTCAGGGGAGATCAAGGTCAAGGCTTAACCTGACATAGATAGAGTTGAGAAAGGACATAAGAAGTGACCAAAGGAAGCTAGTTAGTCTGACTCACTAAGGGAGGAAAAGAAGGACTGCAGAAGGAAAAGTGTCAGAGTGTAAAGGGACTGGAGATGCTGTTTAATCCAACCTCATCTGAAAAGGAAAGCCATTTAACATCACCCCAAAGGGGGCCATTGCGACAGTGCATGAAGACCTCTGGTAAGAGAGCTTTCTCCCTTCCATGTAGTCCCTTCCACTTTGGAACAGCTGCATTTCTTACAAAGTTTCCCATAAATTTGCCTCACCGACTACTACCTATTATGCCTTCTTTGGACAAAGAGAATAGGACGGTTGTTTCTTCCATGTGGTAGCTGTTCAAATACTTGAAGACCATTTGCATGTCCTGCCTAAGGCTTCTCTTTTCCAGGCTGACCATCCCCAATTCCTTAAAATAGTCATCAGATGGCATGGAACTCAACGCCCTTTCCATCTTGGTTACCCTCCCTTGAGTCTTCCCCACTCTGTCCATCTTGTTCCTAAAATATTTCCCCAAAAACTGAACCCAATATTCCATATTGGATGTGAGCAGGGCTGAGTTTAAGGAAAATATAATCTTCCTTCTTCTGGACCTTTGTCTCCCTTAATCTGGGCCATGACATCTTTGGCAGCCATTATAAGCAATTCCACTGTGTGTGTAGATGACTATGTGAGCAGACAAATATCCATATTGGTTGAGTATGTGATAGTAGGGGTTCCTTTCAGGTTTGGGTTAGATGACCCATGAGGTGACCACTGAGGTTCTGGACCACTATCAAATTCTGTGATTTTGTGAAATATCATACCTCTAAATACCAAATGCCAGCTAATCTCTCAATAGAGGACAGTGGCCATCAATAGGCCCCAAGTCCTCCCCTCTAAAATGACCTTTGACCTATTCTGCCTACATCCTCCATGTTATCTCTCCCATTAGGATATGAGTGCCTTGAGGGCAAAGACAATGTCTTTGCCTTTTTTGTATTCCCAATACTTAGCACAGGGTCTTGTCCATAGTAGGTATTTAATAAATGCTTGTTGACTAACATTTACCTTCAGTTAAATGTATTTTCCCAAAATTAATTATTTGCATCCATCAGATATTGAAGTAAATATTTCACTTTAGAAATATAAATATATATACAGAAGCACATATGCCATGAGGCTGCTAATTGCACTATCCTTATGGAGGCATCAGCTGACCTCTGGAACCTGACCTATACCCTTGATACACATTCCATCCCCGATTTTGATTATATGCAGGTGGTTGTAACATCTCAGCTACGAAAATTCCACATAGGGATATCAAAGGAAAAGAAAATATAGCAATAGCCCCACCATTGAAAATAAGCCAAGGCTAGATCAAAGTCAATTGAGAGATCCTTCACAAAATACAGCAGATTGACAAAAGCACCCAGCTGGTTAACATCAGTTCTAACCAAGGCAACCTCTTTACCAGCAGCTGCTTGGAATATTTCTTAACAGTTCAGGATGCAAGATGGAGAGCAATGAATAGACACCAATTTGGTTCTTAGGTCACCTGCTTTCATCCTTGAGAAGCATCCCCGTAATCACGCCTGCATCTTAACTCTGCTCATGAAGTAAAAACTGCTTGATGGCATCAGGCAGGGGGAGAGAGGGTATAAGGTACAGCCGACCCTTGCCGAGAGCCCTCCTCACAGACACCCGGCACAAGCACAGCAAGGTCCTGGGGGCACCTAGAGAGGAGGAAGAGGAAAGAGAAAAAGTCACTCATCTGAAGCAGCTCCATGCGACGGAATCCAGGCATGGAGCAGCCCTGGCCTCCCAGCTCTTGGAGCCACAGCCCCACCCCGGGGAGCTTCCCGGGCAGAACCAAGGCGAGATACGAGAATGCGAGCTCCTTGAAGGCATGGGCTGTTCTGTCCTTCATTTGTACCCTGAGTGTTACAGCAGTGCTGGGCACACAGTGAGCACTTAATGAACACTTGCTGACTGACTGAGGCACTGGGCTGGTCAAAGGAAAAGAAAAACTGATGGAATCCTGTATTTGCTTCTGCAGGTTTAAATCTGGGCCTGGAACGGAATCCTCATCCCACCTCCCCAAGTTTCGGAATTCCCTGGTTTGGATCACCTTCTCCTCCCTTTGACAGTGTTTATTATTCTGACTGTTAGTATTTTCGCTGTGTTCCTACCCCTAATTTTAGTTGTCATCACCCCTGAACACAGACTGCAACCTGAGCCTCAGAAGGGAGCAGCGGCTGTTCCAGAGTCATACAGTTAGGAAACGGCAGAGGCAGCCCTCGAACCCAAGTCTTACTGCTGTTCACTCATTGTCACTCGTCTCTGACTCTCTGTGATCCCACGTGGGGTTCTCTTGGCAGACACACTGGAGTGGTTTAGCACGTCCTTCTCCAGCTCATTTTACAGATGAGGAAACTGAGGCAAACAGGGTTAAGCGACTTGCCCAGGGTCACACAGCTAGTAAATGTTGGAGGCTGGATTTGAACTCAGAAAAAGGAGTCTTTCTGACTTGTGCTCTATGCACTATGGTGCCATCTAGCTGCCATCTAGACGAGTCTTACTGATTACAAGTTAGATGCTTACTCTCGAGTGTCTAGCCACTGTGAAAGCTGCTTGTCAAAATTAACATGGACACAATCTAGCAATATATTTGTACATAATATATCAATATACATATACTTGATTTTAACAATTATTTTAATTATTATTAATAATAATACTGATAAGTGATGATTATTTTATTATCATTAATCTTTTTTTTTTAATGCAGCTCAGATAGAATGGTCTGAGGACAAATCTTTAACCTGTTAGTATTTGTTCTATATGCAATGTTCTGTGGACTATGGCTGATGGGAGAAAATGACTATTAATAATGGAACAAGAATATGAGGTCGGAGGCTCCTGAAAGTGTCTTCGGGACAATTGCAGGAGACGAGGCGCCAGGGAGGACCCAGGGACCAGGCTTGTTTTCACAGGGCTCCACTGTCTTCCACTAGGTCTCCTTTACTTTGAAAGTTTTTCATCCTGTGTGAGTCAGAAATGGAGTCTTAAAAATCTTTGAAAGACTGAAGAACTCTGAACCGTGCCATGACAAACCACAATTCCAAAGGATTTGTGATGAAGTATGTTACCCACCTCCCACGAGAGCACTGAAGGGCTCAGAGTAAAGGCTGAAGCATATTGCTGCTTTCGCTTCCCCTTCCCTCCCTTCTTTTCTATTTTTTCTTTCCTTCCTTCCTTCTTTCCTCCCTCCCTTCCTCCTTCTTTCTTTCTTTCTTTTCTTCTTTCTTTCTCCTTTTTTTTTTACCAACAACTATGTGAGATATTTCTTAAGTTTCTCTCTCTCTCTCTCTCTCTCTCTCCTTTCTTTCTTCCAAACATGGTTAATGCAGGAATTTATTCAGTATGACTATACGTTTCTGTAATGGGCTTTGTTTTTCTTGCTTCTCAGTGGGTGGGGCAGAGGCGGGGAAGACAGAGGGAGAGAATTTTGAACGGAAAATAAAATGGAATTTCAAGGGAAAAGTGGTTTGTGGAAGAGAATCCAGCTCATTTCTCATGGGGCTTCTTGGAGTAATACATTGGTGCATTCAGAGCCAGAGACAAGAGAAGTGTGAGAGAATCCTGCAGATCAGGAGCAGGAGAGCAGAGAGGAGCCCTGGGCATCTGTGAGCCAGTGCCTCTGTGTGTGTGGGTGTGTGTGTGTGCATGTGTGTGTCTGTGGAGAGTGCCGGGTGTTGCGCCAGGGGACGCCAGCTTCCCAGAGATTCCCTCTGGTTGTCTGGCCCACCCAAAGATGACTCCTCTGTAATTTCTGGTGGCATTGCATAATCATGTATCACCATCCTGAGTCCCTTTATTTCCACAAACAAATACTCACGACTCAATCAACCCATCAAGGAGCATTTATTAAGCACCTACTATGTGCCAGGCACTGGGAAGATAGCCATTTCTTCAAGGTTTCTTTGTGAATATATTGTTGCATAAGACTGTTATTGTTGTAGCACTAAAGTCCAATGGGTCATGGTAGCAGAAAGAGAGCTAGAACAGGAGTCAGGGAGACCTGAGTTCAAATCCAGCTTCAGACACTTACTAGCTGTGTGACCCTGGGCAAGTCACTTCACCCCCTTTGCCTCAGTTCCTCATCTGGAAAATGAAGATAACAATAGCAACTACCTCTCAGGGGTTGTTATTAGGATAACATAAGATAATTCATGTAAAGCACTAAATATACTAAATATGATTATTATTATTAAAGTCACCCTCCAGTCCCCCATCATGGAATGGAAGAAAATCTACATCAAAGAGATGCATATTCTGGAAGGCCTGGCCGAGCCAGGAAGGCTTCACGCAAAGATCCAATGATATAGATCCTATGGTCTTCTCCAAGGTCCAGCCTCACCAAGTCCAGAAAGGGCGTGCACTAGGATGAATTCATCAACAATATAAACCTTAGAAGACTAACAACCGAGCTATGAGGTAGGAGTGGATCTAGGGGGCTGCAATCTGTATCAAAGGAGGGAAAACCAATGCTGGTGAGGTCATAGAAGTATGGAGTATGTGGTATTATCGCCACTGTTATCATTGTAGTAAAAAAGCTACAAAGTAAATCACCAATGATCATAGGAGAGCTTTGCATCTTGGTCAGAATGAGAAGGGAGGCCTCTTGCTGTCAGCCTCAGTGCTCTGTGCCTCAGTTTCCTCCTCCTTACTCTACGACCCTGCGGATATACTTCACTTGTACAGTGTGGCCCATGTTCTACCATCTAGGAGGAAACCATTGAGGAATCTGGTTCTTATTCCAAAAAAAGCCAAATGGATTCTAATGACTGGAGGGGGAGGGGAACCGAGGTGAGAATCTAAAGGAGCTAATTGGACTTGTAGAATATTTGTCAAGAAACGCCCTTGCTGCCTTGCAAATACACATAATACCTTGGGCTCACCTAAAACCCAAGGATTTCAGTTAAGTGGAATTAATGGCCTCCTCTTGGGCGAGTGATCACAGCCCTATCAGCCAAGGCAAAGAAGAATCCCTTGCGCAGTAAATGAGGCACAAACAAATGGGAGCCTCTAGGGTCAGCCCAGCAACCTTATTTACCTGAGGAACAGCCTTGGTCCTGACCACTGCAAAGGTCAACCAGCCCGACCAGGGGCATCCTCACACACCTCTTACCAAAGGAGCTGCAATTAAGGAAGGCTTCCGTGCACAGCAGTTCAGAGAGACCTTGTAGAAATAATAGAATTAGGGTAGGGAAGGGGTTGGAAGGAGGGAGAGAACTGGGAACTGAAAATTTTAAAAATAATTTAGAAAAACAAACATGTTTTGGCGAAGGAGACCACTTCCACAGAAGACTTTAGATTTGGGGGACAAAAAAAGGCAGCTGAATAGGTAGACCTCTCCAGAAAGTGCAGAAATTGTGGCAAGCACCCCCTCCCTGCCTCCTCAATCCTTAGGGCTGGAGTGAGAAGGCCTCGTGGAGATTCCCCGCGAGCGTCCTGGGCCCAACGAAGAATGAATTTCTTTTCAATTTCCAACTTTGCTTTGGTGGTGTTGTCTTATAAAGAAAATCGTATTTATTGCCTCCATGTTCAATTATATAATGCCAATCCTGGCATTCAAGATCCTCTATAGACCATTCAGTCAGTAAACATTTTTATTTTATTATTTATTAATGCACATTTATTACACATATTATTATTATTATTTATTGCTAGATGCTAGGGGGGATTCAAAGTTTAGAGAAGACACGGCCCTGCCTTCGTGGAATAAGCTGGGTCAGTGAAAAGAATCACGGATTTGGGATTGGGGGACCTGGTTTGAGGCCTGCCTCTGGACTTAGGATCTGTATAACCTTGGGCAAGTCACTGGACTTCCCCAAACCATGCTACTAAGGCCTGGCTGGGAAGCTGTTCTCAGCTAATGGATGAGAAAATGGCATCTGAGTTGGGTTTGAAAGGATGGGTAGGAACCAAGTAATTAAAGAGGTGGAAGATGAGTGAGAGAGAGGGTGTGATTGCTAAAGCAGGAGGCTGGACAGGTAGAGAGAAATTCGCCTTGAGGAGGACCAGGGCTAACTTAACTCTCCTTCTGTGAGCAGAGGGAAGAAGGAAGAGGAGAAGAAGATGCTGCTGTGACTTTAGGACCAGAGGAGGAGAGTGGAGAGAGTCATGTTACATCACCTTAGTCTTCTCAGTGACTGGTACTGGATTTGAGTCGCTTGGAGCTACAGAGTGAGGAGGACAGGCCACAGAAGAGAAGAGGTGCTGGGGGAAATGAGGTAGGGAGGCAATAAAGGCAGACCAGGTGTAGCTGAAGCTAATTAACACATTTGGAGTAAAGGCAGAGAAGATGTGTGAGGGTTTTCTTTTTTTTAATGCCTCAGCAACCCACAGCAAGAGCAAAGGAAAAAGCTAGTGGGTGGTGTGGGAGGGTGAAGTGTCCCTCACAGGCCAAGAATGGTGTTAGGACAGCAGGGCAAAGGATGCTGGGGCAGTCCTAGCTAGCGCGACAGATGAGCTGGCCCGCCGGCTATGGGGCTAAGGAATGCAATGAAAGGAAGAGAAACCACAGAGGAGATTGAAAGAACAGCGACGGGCCAAGAAACCAGAGGTTCTGGTAAGGACAGAGGATGACTTGGGTGTGAGAGAGAGAGCTGGGGTCATCGAGGAATTCCAAAGATCCATATGTTGGAAGGGGGCTCAGTGCTAACAGGGTGGCATCCAATGTGTGAGTACGGTCGTGCGCAGCTGAAGGCTGGAGCAGAAAGAGGTCTTTGGAGTTCAAGACATGACATCTGTCTTCCACCTCTGAGTTTTTGCACAAATTGCCCCCCATGCTTGGAAAGCACCCCTTCTTCAGCTCTGTTCCCTAGAATCCTTGGCATCCTTCAAAGAACAGCTGAGGGCCCACCCCCTTATAGCTATTCTGGATCACCCCAGAGACTAATGTGCTCATGAGCACTGAAGCTTACTTGTATAATGTTGTACGTACTTTGGGACAAACACATCCATCCTGCCAATAGAATGTAAGCTCCTCAAGGACAGAGCCTGGATCCCATTTGTTAGCAAGAGAGAAAACCATGGACAAGGGAGTGGAGGCCACAGAACCGGGGTGTTTTGGTCTGAGAAGTCACAAAGATGGTGAAGGGAGCCATATGGAAACTGAGCCATCTTTTCCAGAAATAGTGGTATTCATTCAGTTACTATTTCCAGAGGTCAACGTTGCAAGCAAGGGGTTGGGGTGAGGATACACAGGCTGGGTGGCTTGTCAAGAAGATAGGTACAGAGCAGCGACGTGCTGGGTACGGGGCCAGTTCTATATGACACACTCTGACCAATGAGTAGCCCAGGGCTCCCTGGTCAGACAGATGCCTGATTATATGGGGCAGGAGGATGCTCTCTCTGTGTGCCTCCTTTTCTAGCTTTCTCTCACATTTCTCCTCATCATGTACTCTATATTCCAGCCAATTGGGTGGTTCCCCATTTCCCATTCTCCTCCCACTTTCCTCCTTCTTTGTGGCTTTGTTCATGCCATCCACTATTTGAGATGAACTTTGCCCCTACCCCTATCTCTGCTAGCATCCTGCCTTTCCTTCCTTAGTGTCTCCCTCCTTAAATTTGTCCTTGTGTTTTAGCTGGAATGGTCCCTTGCATTGATCTGACCCAGCACAGTGGTCAGTATATACAGTAGATGCTGGCTGGATTGAATTGATTTATCTTACTTCACTTTGTATCATGGTTATATGTGAATACATCTTTTCCCATCCTCCATTCTCCAACTAGGAGATTGCAACCCCTTGACGACAGGGTCTGTGGGGTGTGTGTGTGTGTGTGTGTGTGTGTGTGTGTGTGTATACATACATACATACATACATATTTTTTTAATCCCAGCACCTGGCACAGTATGCACACAGTAGGTGTTCAATAAATGAATGGATATAAAGGTAACAGCAGGTCTTAAGCTCATTGCACTTACTCCTGGCTTCTTTGAAAACCTGCAGAGCTTCTGGGTTCACTTTCACTCTGCCTCTTGACTCAGCATTCAAGGCTTCCCACTTCACCAGATTCAGGTTGGCGCCAAAGTCAACCAGCAGGCTGACAAACGCAGCCTCGCAGCCATGACGCAGAACGGCGTCCATCACACAGACAGGGGAGCCCCTGCAGAAGCCCTGGACATTGACAGGGCCGTGGCAGTTGAAATCAGGGTTGGCTCCAGCTTGAAGAAGCAGCTTGAAGCATTGGAGGTTGTGGTAGGCTGCACTGATGTACAATGGACAGACCACCAGGGAAGTGAGGCGTCGGGAAGCAGGGGGAGGCGCCCCAGGAGCCAGGGAGGGGCTGACGTCCACATCTGCCCCATACCTACATGAGAAGCAGAAGCAAGGTCAGACATACTCACGTGCCCAATGGAGACACTTCTGCCAAGGACATGAACCCAAGCGACAAAGCCATCTTCACATCAACCCTCATCCACACTCCTCACTACTACCACTAGCAAGGCTGCCATGTTGGTCAAGGGCCACAGGAGCCATTTTGGTTGACTCTGGCCTCAATCCACTTTGGATATAGCCATACTAAATGAATGAATCTGTGATCAGTCTCCTGGGAAAGAGAACCAGTCGGGGATGACATATGATTGCTATTAGCCACGGCAAACAATGTGTCTTCAAGAACATAAATCACAATTTTTAAGTCATTGCTTTGACAAAGAGAAGCCTAACAACGCAGAAGGTTGGGGCTCTTGCCTGGGCCCTGCTCTCTTCTCCTCTCCCTCCACACTATCTTGCGTGGTGATCTACCCAGCTCCCATGGATTTCATGATCATCTCTGTGCAGATGATTCTCAGATTCGTTTGTCCAGCCCTAACTTTTCTCTGACCTCCAGTCTCACACCTCCACTCACCTCCTGGCCATGTCACACTCATTAGCTTTCCCCTCCCACACTTTCCTCTTCTTCACTTCCTTCCTACTATCAAGAGCCCCAGTCCCTGAGTGGCACAGCCCAGATGCCACCCTCACCTGATCCTCACTCTCACCACCAGATGCAATCAGAAGCCAAGGCCTGCAGTCTTCACCTTCATAAGATTCCTCCTACAGCCTCTCTTCCCTCCTCTGACACTGCCCCAACCTCTGGGCAGGCTCTCATCACCTCCCACCTGTTCTGGTTCAGGAGCCACTGGAGGGCTTCCCTGCCTTACCTTTCCCCACTGCCATGCCTCCTCCTCACATCTGCCAGAGTGGATCTTCCTGCAAGGTCTGACTGTGTCACTACAACTCATTCAGTAAACTTTAGTGGTGCCCTATTCCCTTCAGGATCAAACCGACAATCTTGTGTGGCTGTTAAAGCCCACCTTTCTTGTCCTCTAGCACCTCACTCCCTCCGTAGACAGGACTCTGGGCTCCAGTGACAATGGCCTCTTGCTGAAATTCTGTCTCCTACCTCTGAGCGTTTGCCTGGAGCTCTCTCCTCCCCCATTTCTGCCTCTGACTTTCTTCGGGTCTCAGCAGTGGAGAGAGTGAGGGGTCTGGAGTCAGAAAGAGTTCATGAGTTCAAATTCGGCCTCAGACACTTACTAGCTGTGTGACCCTGGATAAGTCACTTAACCCTGTTTGCTTCAGTTTCCTCATCTATAAAATGAGCTGGAGAAGGAAATGGCAAACCGCTCCAGGATCTCTGCCAAGAGAACCCCAAATGGGGTCACAAAGGGTCAGACACAACTCAACCGACCAACAAAACTGAAACAAAAAAATATGCAAAGAGCCTTTCCCAGTCCTCCTTCAGCTCAGTACCTTCCCCTGAGATTACCCCCAATTTACCCCCTTTAAGTCTTGTTTGCTGGTCATTATGTGCTCTCTCCCCTATTAGGCTGTGAGCTCCTGGAGAACCGAACTGCTTTTCATTACCATTATTATCATCAGAAACAATAATAGCAATAGTGCCTAGCACTCACATAGCATTTTAAGCTTCACAAAATAATTCACATATATTATCTCATTGGATCCTCACAACAACCCAGCAAGGTAGGAGCTATGATTATCCTAATTTTCCAGGAGAGGAAACTGGTTGAGAGAACCTAAGTGACTTACCCAGGGCCTCACAGCTAGTTCAGTGTCTGAGGCTGAATTTGAACTCAGCTCTTCCTAAGTCCAAGTCCACAGCTCTATCCACCATACCTCTTATCTGCCTATTTTTTCATCCCCAGCACTTAGCACAGTGCCTGGCACATAGTAGGTGCCTAATAAATGCTTCTTGACTGACTAGCTGAGTTGTAGCATTTGGAGTTAATTCCATGAGACGCACTGTTTCTGGATGAGTTCATTGGGTCCCATCAAAGGAACTGGGAATGTTTATGCTGGAGGAGAGAAGACTTAGGGGCGGCTTGACGGCTGTCTTTCGGTGCCTGAGAGACTGTCATACAGAAGCCGGAGAAGACCTAAGAGCAATTGGGAGGATTTTCAGAGAGGCGTATTTTGGCAGGACGTGAGGAAGCATGTGAGATGCCTGGGGACAGGAAGACCAATTGGCCCTCCTGGAGGTCAGGGGGAGAGCTTCAGCGCTGCACTCTGGGCTCCCCCCATCTCTGACTCTGCTCCTCTCTGAGGCTGATGCTACTGCTCTCGCCTGGGGCACACACAACCTGAGGTGATTGTCTCCATTTTATGGATGGAGACAGAGCTTGCCCACAGCTAGGGAAGGAGCCGAGCTAAGACCCTGAGTCCCATCCCAAGGCTCACGGCCATACTCAGACCATTCAGCCGCTGAGGCACACACATGGAAAGTGCGTGGATTAGGTGTCCTTCCTCTCCATCCCAAACTGTGCAGATGCTGACCGCTGGAGGAGGGAAGCAAGGCGCCACGCGTCCCTGGGTGAGCCATTCCAAGCACTCACAGGGCAGAAGCTAAGCCCTGTCTTCAAGCACCAAGCAAATACAACAATGATGGCAAAGGTAAAGGCTAGACAGGCCAAGCAGGACCAGAGTGTGGCTTTTGTTTTTAAATCTTGTTCTCTGGATTGCCTTTGTAAAAGCAAATGGCGGCATGAAGGAGAGGCAGACTGATAACACCAGACGTGTGTGTGTGCATGTGCACACGTGTGCATGCATGTGTGTGTGCTTGCAGGGAAGACATAGCATGAGGGCTTCAGAGGCTCAGCACGCACGTAAAAAGAGATTTTTGTTTCTTTTCGATTTGGGCTTTTGTGAGGCGTGGGGGATGGGAGTGGTGAAGCCAAGTTCCAGAATGCAATCCACTTTTATGATCTCTTCTGCACTACTCAAAGCCTATTCCAGAAACGCTTCCCCTTCAGGAGACCAAGGAGTTTGCAAGCACAGCTGCCAGGCATTGCTTATTAAAGCCGGTCAGCCCTCAGCCCCCAGCCCCTACCCCTATTCATCTGGGTAAACACAAAGTGGCTGTGTTAAAACGCAGGCGTGGTCTTCACTCTTGGACCCTGCCCGGGCACGGCTGCCTGTTCCTTGTGTTCTCACAGTGATTTGTGTGTCGGATTAGGTGACCTTCGAGTCCCAGAGTCAGAAGGGACCTCGAAGGTCACCTAATCCAACACCATTTTAGAGATAAGGAAGTTTGAGCCCAGAAGGGCGAAGCAACTTGCCATGGGTCACGTAGGCTCTAAGTGTCCAAGCTGGGATTCGAATCCAGGCCCTCGGATTCAAAACCAACCTCGCTTCTGTCCATAGAAACCTTAAATAACATTCTAAACTATTATTTGTTAGACACTCAAAACAAACAAACAGAAATCTCTCTATTCACTTCACATATTAAACGCATTTTCAAAAGGAGACCTGCGCAAAGCCTCGCTAAAGGAAAAAAGGAGGGGGGGTGGTTTCAGACTGCCTCCTCGTAGCTGGTTCAAAGCGAAGGACCTTCCAAGATACTTGTATTTTTGGGCAACATGACAATCTGGTATTGGCTTAGCTGTGGGAGAGACATCCCTTCATCCCCTCATAAAAAGGTACTGGATGGGGGCCAGTTCATTTTAGTCCTGACTATTTTCCAAAATTCCCCTCTTGCATTTAATATTGCTGGCAAACGGGCTGGGGAGAACCGTATAAATCAATGCTGCTCACGCATGCACAGAAACACCACTTGTTATAGAGCCTTGTGTTAATATTATTATTCCGAGGCAATTGGGGAGGGGAGCTTTAAGCTATAGCCCTGCAATCCCGCTGAGCCAACTTCAAGAACGATGGGGACAGATCAGAACCTGGCCCCACCTGATGGAAAGGGGAGATGGCAAGAGATCACAGGAGCATGGGCCTAACTGGAGAGGGGAACACGGGGGTCAAAGGATCACAGATTTGGAGGTAAATGGGACCTTAGAGATCATCTCTCAATACCCTTCCATTTTATTGATGGAGAAACTGAGGCCGGAGGGATTCTAGGACCTTGGACTTAGATCAGCCAGCCAGTCCAAACCCCTTCTCTTACAGAGGTGGCGCCCAGGCTGAGAAGGAAGGTGACCTGCCTGAGGGCAGCCCAGGATTTCAGGGGCCGGCTGGTCCAGCCCCTTCACTTTACCCAGAGCAATGGAAGTCCTGAGAAATGAGGGACTTGTCCAAAGTCCCACACAGGGGAGGGGCCAGAGTCCGGATGTGCTCCACGTCTAGAGTCTCTGCTTTTCAGTTAAACAGCCTGGGCGCCTGCTCATTCTGAGTATTCACTAATTATGCCCTGAAAGCATGCACAGGGGCCTTGAACGCCCCTTCCGGCTCCAAAGCTCTGATCCCATGAAACCCCTTACCTAGAATAAAATATGTTCTCGGCAGACTCTGCTCTTTGGAAAGGACCTTGGGTGCTGTCTGGTCCAACTTCTTCATTTTACAGATGAGGAAACTGAGGCTCAGGGACACTCAATGACTTGGTCATGCTTGCAGAGTGAAGCAGGGGCAGAGGGCAGAGGTGGGAACGCCCTTCCCATTACACCAACCTTTGTCGCTGTTGTCGAGACCTTTTAGTCGTGTGAAACTCTCTGTGACCCCACTTGGGGTTTTCTTGGCAAAGGTGCTGCAGTGGTTTGTCATCTTCTTCTCCCGCTCATTTGACAGATGAGGAAACTGAGGCCAACAGGGTGAAGTGACTTGCCCAGGGTCACACAGCTAGGAAGTGTCTGAGGCTGGATTTGAACTCAAGAAGATGAGTCTTCCTAACTCCAAGCCCATTGCTCTCTCTACTGTGACACCAACCTAGAGCCTGATGTTAAATGTCATTCACATCATTTTAGTGGAGGTCATGTCAGGAGGTCAGGACGATTTTTCAGTCTGATTCTCTGGGGAAGGCAGAGCTGCTGAAAGCGGCATCCTCCGTCAGTTCAAAGTTTCCAGTCAACTTGGATTTTGGGGCCTGGAGTCAGGAAGACCTGAGTTCACATCCTGCCTCAGATCCTTAGCTCTGTGATTTTGGGCAAGTCACTTAACCTCTGTTTGCCTCAGTTTCCTCAACTGTAAATGAAGATAATAATAGCCCCCACTCCCCAGGGTGATTGTGAGGATTTGTAAAGTGCTTAGCACAGTGCCTGGCACACAGTAGATGTTCAATAAATATTGTTACTGTTATTGTTGTTATATCCTCTAACGGGGTGCAGGACCACACAAAGTATAAGCCATGGGGATTATAAGTCACAGAGATGGGGTCAGTGACCATGGCTCACAAGGCTGTCCTCAGGGACAGGGAGTGCTGATTACTGGTCCGGTCTCATTAGACTCTGCTTGGGCTACCTTGAATTAGGAGATTCACAGAACCATTAGAAGTTAGGAGAGATCTGGGTTCAAATCCCGCTTCTGACACTTAATTGCTATATGTACCTTGGCAAGTCACTGAGCTTGTCTGTGCCTCAGTTTCCTTCTCTGGACAATAAGGATCATCACAGCCATAGCATCTGTCTCATTGCCCTCACTTACCTGATCAGCTCCTTCAGAATGTCAGCTCTCCCCACCCGGGAGGCATGGTACACTGGGGTGCTACGGTGATGTCGGCTGCCATTGGGGTCGGCTCCAGCTTCCAGGAGGATCTGGGCACATTCCAGATGCCCGTTCACCACTGCCACATATAAGGCAGTCTGTCCCTTCACATCCACAAGGTCAATCTCAGCCCCCTTCTGAATCAAGAAATCCACACAGTTCCCATGGCCTGCAGTGGCCGCGATGCGCAGTGGGGTACAAGGAAGCCAGCCACAGCACCAGACTGATTTCTCGTTGATCCGGCTGAGAAGAGAGCAGAAGCAGAAAGTTTAGCTGTCTTGGAGTGAGCCCTAAAAGTAGATGAGGCAGATGAATTCGTCTTTAAATGGAAACAGACTGAACAAAGACATGGCTGTGGGTTAGAAACAGACAAAGACATAGACATAAATGAGTTCCAGGCATAATGAACTCAGTCAGAGTAAGAAAAACTTTAATGATTGCCTAATTCTGCTATCTCACCATTTGACAGATAAGGAAACTGAGTCTTGTTTTTATAGATACTAACATCGGATCTACCCTTAAGGTTTGAAAAGAGGCAAAGAAGCTATGGTGTGACAAGTCAGGGATGGGACATCAACCAGGGCTGGAGGGGATTTTAGGGATCATCTTTAAAAAAGAGGAAACTGAGGGAGGCTCCCTCAGAGAGATAAAGCGACTTTCCTATTGCCTCTAGGATAAAACACGAAATCCTCTATTTGGGATTTAGAGTCTTTCAGAGTCTCGCTCCAAACTGTCTTTCTATCCTCCCACACTCTCTGTTCCAGCCAGGCTGACCTATTTGCTATGCTCTGTACATATTTCATCTTCCGACTATTTGTGTTTGTATAAGGAGCTGCCCATGACTAGAATATCTCCCTTCTTGTCTCTACCGCAGTCCCAGACGAGCACAGATTGGGAGAGAGAAGGAACCTCCAAAGGCATCCTCTCCAAGCCCCTCATGTCCGAGATTAGGAATCTGGGACTCAGAGAGCATAAAAACTTGACCCAATTCACACAGATAGTAAATGGTAGCCAGGATTCAACCCAAGATTGAACCTTAGCGCCCTTAGGCTCTAAGGCTAAGTCTAAGTCCCTTAGGACTCAGTTCAGACTTCCACTTGTGAAGGATCTGGGGACCTGGTCACCCTCATTTAAGGCCATCTTCATCATGAGCTATACCTCATTTTTATCTTAGAGATTTCTTAGAATAATCCAAGTGGGTTTGATGAGATGAAGGAAGGAAAAATAATCAGTTTGGATAAAGTTCCTTAGATGGCACGTAGTCCATGAGAGCCCAGAGTCTCTTCTAGAGGCCCATGGGCCCCAGGCCCCAATATTTTATAGATAAGGAAACAGGCACAGAGAGTGAAGTGACTAGATCAAGGTAATGCTGCTAGTCAATTCCGTTAACCCTGAGTCTCTTCCAGAGATCCCTGGGCCACAAGGTACAACATGAAAAGCAAATACTTGTGCATAATTTTGGAGCTGGGGAAATTGAAGCAAACGAAGGATGAATTACTGGCCTACAGTCACTTCACTGACCCAGAGTCCAGAGTTTTTTTCAACTAGTGATGGGAGAGCACCCTTTGTCTACCCTCTTCTACACTGCCCCTCCTTCCTCCTACCCTGGCATGGCTCAGCGCTAATCACTCACAAGAGTGAACAGTGGCTGAGAGCAAGGTCTGGGGATGGAAAAAATCTTCGTGATACATAGTAGGCAAGTGAGGAAAGCTGGGGCCAGGAGAGCTCTTGACCCTTCTGTCCTTTCTCACATTTTATTGACAAACTCATCAGTAATCTTCCTTGTGATAAGTAGGAATAAAAGATCCAATCAGGAGTTTCTCAAATCAAAGCAGTGACCCCCTGAAATGGACACTGGACCCCAGCCCTGGAAATGGCCCTCTCCAGTCTGACCCCTTCATTTTACAGAGAAGAACCCTGTGGACCAGAGGTCACACGGCAGGTTAGTGGGAGGACCAAGATAAGATCCACCCCCTCTTCCCCTTCCAGAGGCCAGGCCAACAGCAACCAAAGCACCTCCCAGCCTGATTCTGAGGGGCACAAATGGGGAAAAGCAAACACTCGGAGAGAAAAGCACAAAAGCTTCGGTTTCACAGGTAGGTCTTCCTTTTCGGTTATGTGGCGTCCAGCTCCAGCTGCAGCCAAAGCTCTCCGGAGTTGACTTTGGCCTGGGCTCATATCCTATCGTTATGGGAGACTAATCCCTTTGGCAGGGCTGTGTGATGACCACCCCTCTCAGATTGAGCTCTGCCCTTTAAACACTGATGTCACCCATGATGAAGGAATATGCAACAATCAATGAGGACAGGAGATGGAATCCCTAAGTCGCCGTCTAGGAAGCAGCTTGCGAGACTGGCCATTAGAATGGGCCACCTGGCAATCCTTCAATTAAACTGTGTAACCTCATCACAAGAAAAGTCACTTAACGCTTCTTGGCCTCAGTTTCCTCATCTGTAAAAAAATGTTGTGACAGTTGAGGTAGAGCAGAGAGAATAATTTATTTGAAATCAAAATTTAATTCAGTTCAATCCACATTTATTTTGCACCGAGTGCCAGGTATTGTACTAAAAGCTAAATATCCAAAGACAAAAATGAAACTCTCTGGCATTCCAGGAATTTATATGCAACTGGGTTTGAATTATCTCTGAATTAATCAGTGTGTGACCTTGAGAAAAATCCCTTCTCCTCTCTAAACCTCAGTTTCCTCATCTGTAAAATGGGGGCATTGGATTGGTTTATTTCTAAGGTTCCTTCCAGCTCCATGTTTCAACTACTTACAAAACATCTATTTTCTCCATGCTTGGGGAAAGGAGAGGACAGAAGGGCTGCAAGGCGCGACCATTGCCCAATGGAGACTTCCAGCGTAAGACTAGATCAGGAGACTGGGGCATGTGAACAATACAAGACTCAATACAGGCAACTGATAAATGGGTCTCCAAGCTTCCTTCTAGTCTCTCCCCCTCCAATCCATCCTCCACACAGCTACCAAAATAATCTTTCAAAAATTCTTCTTAAAATCTTTTATTTTTTCCCAATTACAAGTAAAAAAACATTTTAACATGCATTTTTTTTAAAATTTTGAGTTCCAAATTCTCTCCCTTCCCTCCATCCCCTCTCCTTGAGAAGGCAAGCAATTGGACATAGGTCATACATGTGAGGTCATGCAAAACATTTCTATATTAGTCAAGCTGCAAAAGAAAACACAGACCAAAGACAGAGAGAGAGAGAGGGAGAGAGAGAGAGAGAGAGGGAGAGAGAGAGAGAGAGAGAGAGGAGGGAAGTAAAAATAGTCTGCTTTGATCTTTGTTCAAACTCCATAGTTCTTTCTCTGGATGTGGATAGTATTTTCCATCACGAGGCCTCTGGAGATGTCTTAGATCCTTGTGTTGCTGGGAAGGGCTAAGTCTGTCCGTATTAGTCATCACACGACGTGGTCGTTACTGTGTACAACGTTCTCTTGGTTCTGCTCACTTCACTCAGCATCAGACCATACGAGTCTTTCCAGGTTTTTCTGACATCTGCCTGCTCATCATTTCTTACAGCACAATAGTATTCTATTACATTCATATACCACAACTTGTTCGGCCATTCCCCAGTGGACGGGCATCCTCTCTGTTTCCAATAAAATAATCTTTCTAAAACACCCTAGGCATTCATTTGATTGTCCTGCTCAAAATCTTCCGTGGCTCCTCGTACTTCTAGGGTCAAACACAAGACCCCGAGCTGGTATTTAAAGCCCTCCCCAATCCATCTCCAGTCTGCCTGCCAAGCTGAATTCACAGCACTCTCCCGTACACACTTTAACTTTAGCCTCTGCCCCCCTCCTCAGTGCCTTCACACAGGCTAGCTCATGGCCCTCCAGCCCGGAGGGCACCCCCTCCTGCATCCTTTAGGCGCTGCTCATGTGTCAGAGTAGCCGGCCCCTCCACACCCGAGAACAAGGATTTATATGCAAGTGGAATCACCCCATCTTTATGCTTAGGTGTAAGGTGAGATCAAGACTTGGTATGCCAATACTCTCAGCGTCACCCAGCCTTCTCTGAGCCTCAGTTTCCTCATCTGTAAATTGATGCCCTCTCTGGCGTCCCTCCAGCTCCAGATGTGAAATCTTACGATACTTCCTTTCGTGGGTTTCAGGACTAGGTGGCATAATTAGTGATGTAATCAACAGAAAACCACACTTGGAGTCAAGAAGATCTAAGTTCAAATCCTGCTTCTGATTCTTACTAGCTATGTGTGGGCAAGGAATTCAGCTTCTTTGGACCTCAGTTTCCTCATCTGTAAGACGTGTTGGAACAGATAACCTCTCAGGCCCCTTCCAGCTCTATATCAGGTGGCTAACACATGCCAAGGACATGTGATCTCATAGGGGTGGGAACTCCTGGTGTGCAAACTCACTCATCAATGCAGGTTGTCAACTGTAATTTGTAATCTTAGAGAGCTTTGGGAAGCTCAGAGGCTTGCTGAGGGTCACAGGGCTGGTAGATAACAGGCAGGATCAGAACCCACATCTCTCCATCACTCTAGTCAGTTCCCTGCTCTGCCTTGCTCTTCTGACAAAGCCCCAGTCCTGGCCTTTGGCAAGCTCTGGGAAGCATCATTCAAGGGTCTGGGGAGGGAGAGGGCACGGAGGGAAGTCCCATCTGGGGCTCACAGGAAAGAGAGGACAGCGCTCACCTCTGGAAGCTTTCCTCCTGCAGCAGACTGCGGATGGTCTGCAGGTCGCCCACGTAGGCCGCGTCATGCAGGCGCGTGTCCTCACAGTGCTCGATGGGGTGGTCACAGAACTGTTCCCGCAGCCACTCCTTCAGATTAGGACCTGCACTGGAGAGAGGGGGCTTCTGTTAGCTGAGGAAGGGGGATTAGAGCTTGTCCCCCAAAGGCTAGAAAGCTCAGCACTTCAATAACTGCCTTCATCCCAGTGAATGGTCACCAACCCTGCCCTCACAATGGCATCTCCACCTTTCCATTCCAATTCACTCGCCCTCCCTGAGGACTGTCTGAGGACCTGAATTCAAATGCTAGTTGTGCTGATTACCGCCTATGTGACCTTGGACAAGACACCAAAGGTCTCTGGGTCTCAGTTTCTACGTGTGTAAAATGACCCCTCTGGAGTCATTCCAGCTCAAAAGTGATGCTCCCATGATCCTCCACTGCCCTAGCCAAGGCCCTCAGGCCTTCATGCCTGGGTTACTGCAAAAACTAACCAAGGCAGCCCATTCTTCCGGCGAAAGGTGGAAGTCCGAGCATCCTGGCCTCATCATTGGCCTCACCCTTTGTTCCATCCCCGGCTCTCCCAGGGGTGGTGACTGGGAAGACTGAACTGACGGCACCAGCAGAAATGTTGGAAGGGGCCCCAAAGAGTCCATCCTCACCCCTTCTTAGTTAACCCATTCTCTCTCATCTAATATGTCAGTGGGGGATTTAAAAGGCCAGATGGACCTGGGCCTCGGCTGGGTTGTGGGAGGCTGGGAGGAGGGCTGACTTAGTTATGCCTAGAGAGAATTAACTGGCTAGAATCTGAGGCCGAGGCGTGAACTGCAGCAGGGGTCAGTCACGCTAAGCCCCAGGCGGCATGGAAACCAGCCGTCTTCCCAAAGAGATTTCACCCTGAAGGAAGCAACAAGTTAACAAAAGAAGAACTTGATTAACAGAGCCCCAACCGGAAACCTGACCCCTCTAATCCCCACCCACTGGGTCCTAATTCTACCCTCTGGAGGAACGAGAAGTCCATTCTTTCTTGTGCACAACCACCACTGAGGCCTGTGAAGACTGCCATGATGAGCACAGGCCTAGACCGTTATCATGCTGTGTGTGCACAGGAAATTCACTTAACCTTTCTGGGCTTATAATAAGAAAATAAATAGAATAATGTATAATACTATAATAATATTACATATAATGTTACACCATATATTATAATAATATATAATAATAAAATAAATAGAATAAAGGCAGGGGATCCAAATGGAGGCCTTCAAAGCTCGCTTCTCCAGGTCTTCCACGCCATCTCCCGCCATCTGGAAGATCTCCCTCCTCTCCTCTACTTCTTGGAATCCCAAGCTCAGCTCAAGGCATCCTTCTACAGGATCCTTCCTGTCCCTTATTCTCCTGCCCCTCCTCCACTGTCATCGAGGTTTCCCAGTTACTCCGTATGAATTTTGTGTTTGTTTAACTGCATCCATGCTGCTCCCTTCTCCCTCATATAAATTTCCTGAAGGCCAGGACTGGTTTGTTGTTTTGTTTTTTAAATTATTGGTGTGGTTACCCCAGCACATAACACAAAACCTGACACACAGCTGCTGTTTAATAATGACTGCTGAATTGAATTGCATTTTCCAATTCAGGGGGAGGTGGTAAAGCCTCATGACCAGAGAGCTGGGCAAGAAGCCAGGACAGCTTAGGTCCTGACTCTAATACATACTAGCTGTGTGACCGGGGACAAAACATCTACACTTTCATGTTTGGGGCAATTCTCTAAGACTCCAAATGGTGGAGAAGTTGCCAATGGGAGTTTCCTCACCAGAGAGGCGCAGTCACCAGAACACCCCTCATCCCTAAACCAATGTTCATCCCCCCTAATCTCTTCTCAAAAGGACCTGATCAGAACACAAACTAAAGCTCTCTGCTGTGAGGTGGACTAAATAAAACTGAAAGAAAAACATAAAATCTACCAACACGTCACAAAGGAAAAAAAAAGGAGTAAGAAAATTGTGGTTCATGAATGCAGTGGAACATCATTGTCCTGTAAGAAATGCGGGATGTGATGAACACAGAGAAGCATGGAAGACTTCTATGCACTGATGCAGAGTGAAGTCAGCAGAGCCAAGGGAATCAGAGATAATGACTCCAAGGATGGAAATAGAGAACAAAAAAAATCAGAAGTGAAAGTTACAAAATTACAAAGAGCTCAGACATGAGACTCTCCCAGCCCACAGAGTCCCTCTGCAGGAGCAGAAGTCCATGACTGGGCACGTCACACATATGTGCAGCCTTTTTCAATGTACTGATCAATTATGCTGATTTCTTCTTCCTTTTCTTTTTTTTGCATTTGAAAACATAAATCCATTAAATAGGATTATAGATTAAGAACAGGAAGAGACTTTAGCAATTATCTTATCCAGGGATTCATAACCTGGAATCCAGGAACGTTTTTAATAATTATATTCCGATATAATTGATTTCTTTTGTAATACTTTATGAGTTATTTTATGTGTTTAAAAACATGGTACTTGGAAAGGATCTCTAGGACTGCTCAGACTGCCAAAGAGATCTACGGCAGGAGAGGAACTCTGATCTAGTCAAATCCTCCCATTTCACAGTTGAGGAAACTGAGCCTCAGGGAAACATAGTATCCTGCAGGACCCCAGAGTCATAATGAATGCAGAACTGGGAGGCATCCATGATTATTGACCATCTAGTCCCACCTCCTCACTTCTGAGGGAGAGAAAGGGAAACCAGTGGCCCGAAGGTCGCCCAGTCCGGCTTCGTCAACTCCCAACCTCCTGAGGCTTCCACCTGTCTGAATCAGAGGTGAACAACTGAAGATGGCAGAGACGTACCTAGAAGGGCAGAGCTGGAAGGGGCCAACGGGGAAACTGAGGCCCAGAGAAGGGAAGTGACCTGCACAAGCTCACGCAGACAACTGGTGACAGAGCAAGGGCTAGAGCCCGTGCCTCCTAACCATCCTCCACCCCTTCATCCTCCCACGAAAAGGGAGCTTCCTATGACGAGAACGCCTGCTTTCTCTCCGCTCTGTTCTCACCTGCCCCTAACATTCGCTGCATTCCTACATGCTCCCCATTTCTGCAGTGCTTGAGGAATGTGCCCAACAACTCTGATAAAGAGGCAGAAGATTCCCAATCCATGACCAATAAGTACGCTCATCCTCCCAGCAACCCTGGGAAGAAGGGTCTATTAACAGCCAGAAAAGGACCCTGGTCGAGACAGCTCAGGGGTCATGCAACTCGTGTGTGAGGCAGAATCTGAACTCAGCTTTTCCAGAGCCCAGGTCCGGGCCTCCCCCCACCACATCCCGTGGCTAGCTCCAGGTCCTCAGGGAGGCCCCAGGATACAAAGGCACAAATGAAACAGCCCCTGCCTCAGGAAACTTCAGCTCTGTCAGGGAAGGAGCCTGTCTGCTGGTGAGGAGTCACCAAGTCCCTGTGGAGCTTTTACACAGCCCCATTGCTCAGGGGAGAACACAGAGGCGCAGAGATGCCCTGATGGGCCAGGCCCACTGTCACAGCCTTGAACCCCATTAATTCCACTACACCAGGCAGGTCTGGAATTTGACTGGTCTGAGCCTGGTCGATGACAGCAACCACAGCTGCCATTTTTAGTCCTCTGAGGCTGGCACAGCACATTCCCTCCTTGGCGCCTCCGGCCTCACCCTGCTTGCCTGCAGTGCCCCGAAGGAGAAGGGCCCAGCTTTGCCGCTGGAGGCCCCGGGCCAGCCAGCCAGCGACTTCAGTCCCGTCCTCCAGGCCCGAGCAAAGGCGAGCAGCCGAGACAGGTGGCAGCCCCTCCCCCTCCCCGAGCTCTGCTTGGGAAGAGCACTGGGGTGTCAGGGGGCAGGCCCTGAGGCAGGGGCGCGCCCCAAGAGCGAGCTTGCCCCTAGCTCCAGAGACGGGGCCCTCCTACCCCACCCCTGCCCACCCCCCTCTCCGGCCTGGCACATTACCTGCATTCCCATCGGTGACTCCCAAGGGGGCCCCCCTCCAGCCACCGGGCTGCGTTTCCAGGCTGTCTCCAGGATCCCTCGGCTGGGACCCGGGGCCAGCAGGGCGGCTGTCTGCGCCGTTCCCTTCGGCCATCTGTCACCGGGCTGCGGCACCAGCCCCGATCCTTCCCCTCCCCCTAGCAGGGAGCCGCGGCCAAGACCAAGGCCATGGCCCGCCCGCCAGCCCGGTCCCGCCCGGCCCCGCCCCGCCCGGCCCGGCCTCTGTCCAGCCCGGCCCGGCCTCTGTCCAGCACTCCCCGCGCCCGATCGGCGCCCGCCGTGAGCGGCCCGGGCTGCGCACCGGCCGCCGCGCCCTTCGGGGGAGGATCCCTGGGGGGGAGGATCCCTGGGGGGGAGGACAGGGCAGTGGGCGGCTCCCTGGATCCCGCCGTGGCCGCCCGCTTAAAGGGCACCGGCCCCGCGGCCCCCGCCCGCTTCTCGGCGGCAGGGGATGTCCCAAGCCAGCGGGCCGATTCCTGGTGCGGAGGAAGCGGGACGTGGAGTGAAATGGGCGGTCAGAGCTGCTCCCGGAGGGCCCTGCCCCAGCCCGTCCACGCAGGGGCCCCCGGGGGCAGCTGGGGTGATGCCCATTGGGGCGCCCTCATTGCCCCTTCCTTCTCAGTCGGTCATACCCAGTGGGAGCAGCTGCGCCCCCGGAGGGGAGAGGGGGCCAGCGCAGCATGGGCTGGCAGAGCAGATCACCGCCCTGACCCAAGAACCCATAGGAGGAGGGAGGGCAAGTGGGAGCTGGCCTGCTCTCCAGGCGTCGTGCGTTTTGTCGTGTTTGGAAGGACCCTTTGGGATGAAGCACTCTAACCCCAGGCACAGAGAGACTACACTGGCCTCCATTAGTGGTGATGATGATGATGATGATGATGATGATGATGATGATGATGACTCTAATTTCAGTCCGTAGATAAGCACCTATTACGTGGGCTAAACACCGCAGGTGGACACGAAGGCAAAAGTCAATCCCTGCCCTCCAGGAGCTCACAGTCCTAAATGGGAGACAAGAAAACAAACCCACCCTAACAAGCCCTAGACAGGATAAACAAATAATCCAGAGGTAAGGCCCTGGAATTCTCAGGGATTAGAGGAGGCTTCCTGTAGGAGGTGGGATTCTAGCTGGAACTAAGAGAATGCCAGGAGACAAGATGAGGAGAAAGATTGGTCCAGGAGTGGGCGACAGCCAGAGAAAATGTCCAGAGTTAGAGCGTTTTGTTGGAAGAAACGCAAGGAGGCCAGCGTCAACGGATCAGACTGGGGGGAGAGGGAGGGAGGTGCAGAGAGACTGGAAAAGTGGGGGCAGAGCAGGGGAGCAAGGGCTTTGAATGTCAAACACCGTTTTATATTTGATCTGGGAGGACATAGGAGCCACTCAGTCGAACACTAAGATTTGCCGACTTTTTAAAATGCGCTGTCATTTGAACCTAACAATCCTGGGGGGTTAATAATAATAATAACTTTATAAATGCTTTACAATTATTATCTCATTGGATTTTCACAACAACCCTGAGAGGTGGGCGCTATTATTATTCCCTTTTTAGAGATGAGGAAACTGAGGCTAAGGAAAGTTAAGTGATTTTTCCAGGGTGACCCAGCTTGTGAGTGTCTGAACTGGGATTCGGACTAAGGTCTTCCTGACTCCAAGTCTAGAGCTCTTACCCTGGTAAAGGTATCAGTGACCACCAGGTCACAAAGGACACAGAATGGAGAGGTCTTCAGAGAACTGAGAATCCAAAAGATGATGGAGTAGAAAGACCCTGGTACTCTAAGCCAAGAGCCCGGAGCTGGTCCAGTCTCAGCTCTGCCTTCAGGTAACCCTGGGCAAGGCACTTCTCCTTTATAAAATGAGGGGCTTGAATTCAGCCTCTAAGATCCTATTAATCAGTTGGTCGATCAATTCAGTAAGCATTTAATAGGTGCCTGCTGTGTACCAGGTACTGTGTAACAGGCTGGGATACAAAGACAAAATGACAACAGCCCCCCCATCTTTGATCCATTCCCTCCCATCTTCTCTAACAGTTGCACCTGCGATCATCACCCCAATCTGGTTTTCAGTTTTCCTGTCCACTGAATCCTGCCTGCTGCCTATAAACAAACTCATACCTCTCCCATCTTAAAAAAAAAAAGAAAAAAAATCCAGCCTTCATTAATCCTATGACCCCCCTCAAGCTATCATCCCATATCTCTCCTCACCTCAGCTAAACTCCATGAAAAAGTTAGACCCACCAGGAGCCTCCACTTTCCCACTCTTCAGAATCTGTCTTTCGTCTTCTTCAGCTTTCTGGGCTGTTTTAGTTCAGCTTTCACCTGAAATCACTTTCTCTACAATTACCAATGATCTCTTAATTGAGGTCGAATCAATGGCCTTTTCTCAGTCCTCATCCTCCTTGACCTCTCTGTAGCCTTTGATGCTGTCTGACTTTTCCTTCCAAGCTTCCCCGTCATGCCCATTGGAGTCATGCCCACAGACAGTGGGTCTTCCCCACGGCTCTTCTCCAGATTCTCTCACTTGGCTAGCTCGTCAGCTCCCATGGGTCCAATAATCACCTCTATGAAGAGCACTGGGCTCCCAGATCTGTATTTCCTCCTCTACTTTCTCTCCTAAGCTTCAGTCTCACATCACCACCTGAAACCTAACTCATCATCTTTCCTCCCACAACTATGCCTCTTCTAGACTCCCCTACTGCTGTCAAAGGCACCCCATCCTTCCAGGCCTCCAGACTGGTGATCCGAGCTTCATCCTCCTGGTCCAAGACCTCAGGACTGAGATTTGAACTCAAATCCAGCAGCATTCTTTCCACTGTTTTATTACATTGTTGTAGAGATGTCTACTGGTGACCACTCTTGGCACCCCAGTTACACTGGGTCCATTGACCTCTCAGCATCAGTTACTTCTGGTGCCTGCGGTAGCCGCAGCCTCGTCTAAAAAAACTAAAACAGACCAAAACACACAAACAAACAACAACAGAAACAAAAAGTAACCGTTTTCTTTGTAATTTTGTAGTTTTATTTGAAGTTTCTCACTCCTGAGCCTCATTGGACTCCTGTGCCCTTTTAAACTTGTGGAAACACAAAGACTGTGGAGAGTTCCTAATTAGACAATTGAGGCAAACAGAATTTGGAGAAGTGCATCTTTCCCCACATGTTAAATCTAAATTGTTGATCAAATTTCCCCTACTGTGCTCTTCCCATCACCAGCGTTTCCCTTGTCTCTGACATGCACCATGTTGTGCCATGCTACAAAGTCATATCTGAGAACTATGTACTTAGTCCCTGGCTCTCCCTGTGTGGAACATGCTGTTTCTTTGATCAGCAGCAGCTTGTGGCTGAGCCTGTTTTTTTTTTTTTAATTTTTAGGCAGTTGGGGTTAAGTGACTTGCCCAGGGTCACACAGCTGGTAAGTGTCAAATGTTTGGTCTGAGGCTGGATTTGAACTCAGGTACTCCTGACTTCAGGGCCAGTGCTCTATCCACTGCACCACCTAGCTGCCCTGGCTGAGTCTTTTTTTTGTTTCTTTATTTTATGCTGTCTATACTAGCTGGGAATTTCTTGTAATTAGAACTCACTTGGATGACAGAGGAAATTCTGTGTGGTCAGTCAGCCCATGCTCCCTCCTGTAATTAATTGCTTGTAGTGTACTGTGAATAAAAGTGTCTCTGACAAGTTTTAAATAAAAAAAAAAACAACCTATTGGCTTCTCCCACAAACCAGAAGCTTACCCAGCAATCACAGTAGATGCCGGGTGATTTTTCTGCACAGATCTCACCAGACTGCACGGCTGATGCCTGTTTTCCAGAGGTGCCTTGGGGAGCCTGGGGAGTACACCTGGACATTCTGTGCTGGTTGGGAGGAGCCTATCGGCTGCATAACCACGCCTGGGGTGTCTTCAGAAAGGCCTCAATCAGTTTCTGACCCCTCTCCATGCCTTCCCATGACTCCTCAATTCATGATGTCTGGTGACGGGCAAGGCCCTGGGGCTTTCTCCCCTCCTTGGCCATGTGGCCCCAAGAATCAGGCCACAGCCCTTGGCCCTCCACCTTTGCTGTTTGCTGTTTTAAGTGAAGGGAGTAGAGTCTCTGACTCAGAGCTGCCCTTTGAGAAGACTTTGCTGTGGGAGAAACTCAAGGAGCCATTCAACATCAGATCTAGGCCAGACTCCTTGAAGCGCTCCCCCACCTCGCAGGCATGGGCTCTTGGTTTCACTTGTGTAAGCCGCTGAAGCAACATCTATACCAGCAGAGAAAGTCCAGGAGGGTCTATAAATCACCATCTGTAATGACCCCTGGAGAAGGTTGGAGATGGAAGGATTATCCCTCCCCCAACCTTCAACGGGTCAGGGATGGATAGGTTCAAGTACTGCAGTGCTGCAAGGGGCCTCAGAAATCATCACACCTAAACCCCTTCATTTCATAATGAAGAAACTGAGGGCCCCCATAGGGAAGTGTCTTGTTTAAGATTACACACTGAGTATAAGGCAGAACTCGGAGCTGAGCCCAACTGGGAGTCCAGTTCTCTTTCCACACCCCTATGCTGCCTTCCACTGCTGGGGGCTTCCAGGGGTAGGTGCCCCTTGGTGCTTAAGAACTTGGGGATGCCCTTTGGCTTCTCTAGCCTGACCCACCTCCAGAAGAGGGACCAGAGGTGGAAGAGGATTGGCCTCCCTGGAGAAGAAAATCCTGCTTGCATTTCATCTATAAAAATGTGAGCCCAAGACAGGAACCAGACGCTGCCCAGGTCCTGCCGAGAGAAGGCCTGCTCTGTGTCTCTGGGGGGCAGGTCTGTAGATCAGAGGGCCTGCTGAGCAGGTTTGCTTTCATGTAACACCCTGCAAACAATGGAAGTCCTGGAGTGTTACAGAGAAGTCACAGTCTGCAGCAGCCTTGGACCCTGGGCTGTCGTTTTCACACATAAGTGTGTCCCTCCTCCTCCTCCTGCACCTCCTGCTCCTCTTTCTTCTTCTCTCTCTCTCTCTCTCTCTCTCTCTCTCTCTCTCTCTCTCTCTCTCTTCCTCTCTCTCCCCCTCCCTCTCTCTGTCAAATGAAAGACTGCTGTACCATACAGATGCCTTTAGGATTTGAAACAAAACAA